TGAAGAGTATAGTGTAGGTTTAAAAGAGCTTTTCACGTGGTTCCCAAATTAACAAGCATCACAAATTTTAAGGGGCCGTTCTTTTTGGCCGTTTTGGATCATTTTCTATTTTCGATTTTTCAAAACAATGAAAACGCGTTCTTTTTGTCATTTTCGAAAACAGATTTTGGAAAATGAAAAAAAAAATGTGAAGAAAATGCAAAAAGGCTGAAAAGTCATTTTGGGCATTTTCTTCACAAACGGATCAGCCAATGGAAAACACGGGAAACAACCCTGTTTCCCCAAAACGTCTCCTCCCTCTTTTCTGCCAAGCCACCTCCACTGCCACCTTCTAACCCTCTAAACTCTAGCCAACCTCCTCCAAAACGGTCGGATTTATATACCATTGTGAAGCCCACAATCCCCTCTTCAATCACCACACAAACAACAATCCAATCATGTACCACAATCGATCAAAAATATCCTCAAAAACAGATTCGGCACAAACTGCTTCTGCCGGAATCAACACCCAAGGTCGCACTTCAATTCCTCATCCCCACAACATTGAATCATCAAATTGGCNACAATAACGAATGCATGATGTTTACCACTTAAGCTAGCTATTATAAAGGTCAAAAAAGGTCCATGTGGGGAAGTTGTAGTGGTTTTGTAGTTGAAGATTATAGTGTAGGTTTAAAAGAGCTTTTCACGTGTTTCCCAAATTAACAAGCATCACAAATTTTAAGGGGCCGTTCTTTTTGGCCGTTTTGGATCGTTTTCTGTTTTCGATTTTTCAAAACAATGAAAACGCGTTCTTTTTGTCACTTTCAAAAACAGATTTTGGAAAATGAAAAAAAAATGTGAAGAAAATGCAAAAAGGCTGAAAAGTCATTTTGGGCGTTTTGTTCATAAACGAATCAGCCAATGGAAAACACGGGAAACAGCCATGTTTCCCCAAAACGTCTCCTCCCTCCTTTCTGCCAAGCTACCTTCCAACCCTCTAAACTCCAGCCAACCTCCTCCAAAACGGTCGGATTTATATACCATTGTGAAGCCCTTAATCCCCTCTTCAATCACCATACAAACAACAATCCAATCATGTACCAAAATCGATCAAAAATATCCTCAAAAATAGATTCGGCACAAACTGCTTCTGCCGGAATCAACACCCAAGGTCGCACTTCAATTCCTCATCCCCACAACATTGAATCATCAAATTGGCCCCAATCGAGTCTTTAGCAGGCATATGGGACGATGGATTACATGTCAATTGCATGAATTAATTCAGAAAATGCTCCAATTTTCGTTCCACCGCCACCTTTCCCTTGCCTCCATTTCCCAGTCGTCCCCTTCCCCTCACCTCCACACACGTCGCGGCCAAAGGAATCTACACCGGTCAGTTCATTTACTGTGTGAAGAAGGCCAAGCTTGTGGTCGGAAAAGGAGAGAGAGAGAGAGAGAGAGAGAGAGAGAATGTGTTTGGATAAGAACACCTTTTCAATTTTGAGTTTTTCAAAACAATTTTTCAAAATGGCAAAAAAAAAAACACATTTTCAACAATCTCAAAATGGACACTCAAAAAACAAAATATAAAATGAATTCAAAACTCAAAACACAAAACTGAAACACAAAGAGAACAACCCCTAACTTTCTCAAATTTTAAATTTTGCAAACCTTTGACAAAACAGTTTTTGATATTTTTTGAAAAAATATATATGCTAACATGACCTAATCTCCTATACCACAACCCAGTATTCTCTTTTAATTTTGATAAGCATTTTTCATCACTTTCAAATTCTATATTAATGAAATAAACATCTTTAACTCGGTTTCCTATAAACATCACATCTTTTAATGTAGCATCCTTAATGAGGCATTCGGAAGAATTGAATTTTATATGATATCCTTTATCACATAATTGACTAATATTAAACAAATTATGTTTGAGGTTATCCACTAATAAAATATTTTCAATTGAAGGAGAAGAATAATTACCAATGTTTTCAATTTTAATTATTTTTCCTTTTACATTATCTTCAAATGTGACATGACCTTCATAATTCTTTTTAAAGTTTGATAGTGACATTTTATCTCCGATCATATGTTTTGAGCATCCGCTATTCAAGAACTATTTGCTCTTTATCTTTTTTGGTACCTACAAAAATAATTTAATTTTTTATTTTTGGTAACCATACAAGTTTGGGTCCTTGGTAATTAGTTTTGGTGGATTCTTGAATATAAATCATTATTCTAGCGGTCCAATAATTATAATGTGTGTCATCTATGAAGCGATGACGATTTTAAATGGGGACGGGAAGGGTATTTTGACGTATTTGGCTAGTAAACATTTGATTCTGAAGGCATAGTATATTGATGTTATATTCGGTGTTTTGCATAATATTGATATCACATTTTGATGTTGCTAGCTCGAAATGTTACTTTTACTGATTAAATATGTTGATGGAATTCTATCTCAATTGTTGCATATTTATCTTATCAATTTTCCCGCGCCTTTTACACTTAGTATTTATTTATTGAGTTGATGCGTTTTAGGAAACATGTATGACAAAGCAATTGACATGCAATAGTGGTTTTGAATAATTGGGCTGATATGAGTCAGATTTTGTTCATTGTGTATTTAAAATAAATGATTTTGTCATTGAATGCTAAATGAGAAATTTGTGTAGGTCTAAAGTGTATTGGCAAAGTTCTATGTCCAAAATGTCATTTAATGGAGTTGTATATAGGGTTGAGTTGTCAGGTGTTTGAAGTGTCATTGGAAGTGTTCAATGTCAGCTCAAGAAGATCTAGTAATGTCCAAAAGCACTTGAAGCACGCCCAAAGGCCGCTCCAGCCCTTTTTCTAGTAATAGACCGTTGACATCTGCCCGAGTCCGCTCTAGCGGCTGTGTTACATGGGAAAACTCTAATTCGTGATTTTTAACATTTTTATAATCTCAAATAACCCATAACTCTATTGTGTGTTGAGCATGTATTGATCCAAGAGAACATATTGTTGAAGATCGATTACTCATTCTATAATTATCTTACCTCAACCACAAGATCAAAACATCAAGAGGGGAAAAGAACGGTTCGTTATTAGTGATCCACGAGGGGAAAAGAAGTCCAGAGGATTTGGAGCTAGTGCTGGAGCGTACAATCGATGAGTTCTTCGGTGATTACAAGTTGGAGATCAGAGTCTACTAAAATTTAGTTTTGTCTGAACCAATTCTCTAAATTCAATCTTTTCCAGTGGATTATTTATTGGCACATGTGCCCATAGGTTTTTCTTTGAAAGAGTTTTTCAAGGATTTTTCTTTCGTAAACCATTCTCAATGTTCTTTTTTATTTTACTATTTTGATATTTATACTTGATTGGTTGCTATGGTATAAATTGTTCTTAATTCATCTAGAACTAATAATGTGTAACATGTAACTTCTTGCAGGTTATTATTGGCTAGTTTTTGATTTTGCATATTACACATATTTATCTCTTTAGGTGTTAGTTGGGTCTAACCTCGTTTATTGCACACTTACTTAAGTCGTGTTCGTCTTTATCGAGTCTAGTGCCTCGAGAATATTGTTAACCATAATTTAAATTATTTAGTTGTATGCATTCAACTAGATTCGCTGATCATCTCTAGATTTTCTTAGAATCGGTCTAACATTTATACAAGGATGACATCCATTCTATATCTAGTTTATTATAATTAATTTCTTGGAAATGAGCAACTTTAATTTTCTAACACGGTTAGCTAGTTGACCAAAAATGGCTATCGTGGTGCCTTGTGGGGAAGGTTACGTATTCATATTACTTAGACACTTACGCGTATTAAACTCTTTCTTGTATCAATTTATTTTTGGAATGTCAACTTATAGTCTCATTTTTCTCTGTGTTGGCTTCCCTTCTATTGCCATTTTGCCCAAATATCAACCTCCACGTTACTGCGCAATTTCTTGAGAGAAATTGATAGCCGTACTATTTGAATAGCTAAAAGGTCAAACCCTTTTACATTTATTTTAGATATATAAATATAGAGTTTAAGAAATAGGGTTTAAGATAGGGTCTTTTATTTTAAAAATAAAAGATTGGCCTTGTTAAGAATAATAAATTAATTATCATTTCATATTTAAAACTTGTCCCATTTTTCAGTGTATAATGTATTTTGAAATAGTTGATTGATAAAGAATGTGAAGTTAAAAATGAAGTAAATTTTTTTCGACTGTATGTAATATTATTTTATTGAAAAATGTGTGGTTGAAAAGAAGAGAGAAAAATATATTTTAAAAAAATGGCATATCAATCAAGGGCTTTAAGCGCTAAAAATTATATCAAGCCATGTTTTACGGGGATTAAAATTAAATTTTTTTATGTATTTTGATAAAAGTTGATGAAACGTGAGATTGAAAAAGTTGTGATTCCTATAAAATTTATAATTAAAATTAATTATTAACTTTAATTTAAATTAAAATATTGAAAAGTTGTGATTTTTTATAAAATTTATAATTACAATTAATTATTAAATTTAATTTAAATTGAAATATTTAATTTTAATTTTGACAGGGGCTAAGTCTCGAGTTTCGTCTAGAAAGTCAATTATTTTAAGAGGAAGAGCCTAATTGATTACATTTATGATGATCTGTTTTTTTCATCTTTTCCTTCTTACGGCTGTGATTAGTTTTGAGCAAATTGACTTGAAGCCGCCAGACTTTTGAATTTATGGTCTTCTTATTCCATTATTCTATTTTTCGTCATTATAGTTCTGTGTTGAATTATTCATCCTGAATTGACTGTTGTGTTTATATATTTAGGGTACTTAAGATTCATATTGCTAGAGAAATATATACACTTAAGATATCTGATTATTGTGTAAATTTTCTGTAAAAGTTCATCTTTTAATTGATTTTCCAGTTGCTGTTTAGATTTGGTTTTGATTTTAATCTGGAAATTTTCTTTGGAACAATAAAAAAAAAAGTAGATTTTGTTAAATTGAAGGACTTCTTTTGAGCAATTTTGAGGTGATGGGAGGAAGAAGTTCGAGCTCTAGAAGGTCTTCATCCTTTGGTTCATCTTCATTTGATGATCATGGTTATCTACAGTCTCCATACACTCATCACCACTCGTCTACGCCTCGGCACCACCACCATGCGTCGCCGATGTCTAACGGCTACGGGATGAGGACCCCGCAACCGCAGCGGGGATTGGATAGGAAGTTTTCGAGAATTGCTGATAACTACACAACTTTGGATCAGGTTAGGCCATCTGAATCGTTTCAATTATCTATAGAAAAAATGGTTAGTTAATTTTATGATGTAGAGTACTTGTGCAAAGCCAAATGAAGTACTTATAGGGTGTCTTAATTTATGGTTATCAAGTCTATGTTAGTCAACTTTCATTTCTGCATATGAAATGGGAGATTTTATTTATTGAAATTTAGTTTTCAATACGCACAACACTGTTTCATGGTTTAGGTTACTCCCATTTCCCTCATTGCTAGTGCATGTATCACTCTTGTTTCCTTTTCCATCTATGTAAAATATGAGAAAAATGATCTTGTTGTCGCCCTTAACCTTCTTGTAATCATCCACTCTGACTGCTACAATGTGAAACTTCTTACTGGATGAGGGAAAAGGCATAGATGCAGTGTTTCTTTGTTTGAACCCATATTTCATAATATATAATGTCATTTTACTTTGTAATTTGAGAAAAATCTTATGTACACACCAAAACTTTGTCTGCGATTTTGCATTATTGGATAGTATTTCTGAAATTAGTCTTGGATGGTCTTCATTAAGTAAAATGAGTGATTCTGATAGGCCTCCAATTCTAGAAGAGCCTGGAAGAATTGAGAAGAATACATATCAACAGAAAAAGTGGGGGAAAAATTAGTTAAAAAGGACCTATAAATAGAGAGGCAACCTGTAGGGTAGAGGGAGGAATGGAGTGAGTGAAAGTGAGGTTTAGGAGAGAGTAGTCCTTTAGAATGACTATATGTTATCTTCCTTATCTGTAATCATTTTCAGTATTCAATAAGAGTTTTGCTTGTACATATTATGTTCTCTGTAACCTTAACAGATTCATAGCTTTATTTTCCTCAGGTTACAGCTGCTCTTGCCCAGGCAGGACTAGAGTCTTCTAATCTTATTGTTGGCATTGATTTCACAAAGAGCAATGAGTGGACAGGTTCATTCTTAACCTTTTTACTTTTTAGTGACTGGTATTCACGACTTCAAACTTTAGGCTAATCCCTTTTTTCCTAAAACCAGGGTCGAGGTCGTATAATCGGAAAAGTTTACATCATATTGGAAATGGCCAAAATCCCTACGAACAAGCGATATCCATAATAGGGAAAACCTTATCCGCCTTCGATGAGGATAACTTAATTCCATGCTTTGGATTCGGAGATGGTATTTTTTCTAAAGCGGCTTTGATGAATTTATTCTTAAAATCTTTGTTGGTTCCATTTTTGGCTCAGAGTAAAGCTCTATCGCCCGTGTTTTCTTGCAGCCTCAACGCATGATCAAGATGTTTTCAATTTCTATTCGGGTGGAAGGGTTTGTGATGGATTTGAAGAAGTACTAAGAAGATACAGGGAATTAGTTCCCCAACTTCGACTATCAGGTACTTGACATTGAACCTTAGAAATTCATTGTGAATCACAACTGCGGAGTTAAGACGATCATTGCACGATTACTATGCAGTTCTAGATATGACTGAAAATTATAATGAAAATCTTTTTTAGCTTCTCTGTTTTTCCTCAATACTGTCTGGTACTATGCAATTCTCTCTACCAAACGTGCCAAAAATTTCATGAGCTTCTGAACTCATTTGAATGCTTACCAGGTCCAACATCATTTGCACCTATTATTGAAATGGCTACAACAATTGTTGAGGAAAGCAGAGGCCAGTACCATGTCTTGCTAATAATTGCAGATGGTCAGGTGATTCCTCAATTTTCAGACGTTGGAATTCAGTACTGAATAGGACTAGATACAGTGGACAAGATTTCAACTTATTTTTACTTCCACATTCAGTCAATTTTTTTTCTTGATTTGCTTTGACCCAAAAAATAGCAAATATCTGTAGTTTCGCACCTGCTAATGTTAATACTTTAACTGGAATGGCTGTTGATTCAGGTGACAAGAAGTAGCGATACTGCACGTGGCCAACTTAGCCGGCAGGAGCAAAAGACTATTGATGCTATTGTCAAAGCTAGGTAAATATATCGTTTGCTCAAATGTTTCTTGCAATTCCATTCTAATAATGTCTGTTCAATTGCAGTGATTATCCCTTGTCAATTATAGTTGTCGGGGTTGGAGATGGTCCTTGGGACATGATGAAGGAGTTTGATGACAACATTCCTGCACGCGCATTTGATAATTTTCAGGTAAATAACATAAGATTTATTACTAAAAACCGCATATTCTGATTTTTGAAGATTGCTGTAGTGAAAATATTTGCATTTTTCCGTGTTTCTGCTAGTTTGTAAATTTTACAGATATCATGTCTAAGAATGTGGATCCGTCAAGAAAAGAGGCGGAATTCGCTCTCTCTGCATTGATGGAAATACCTTCTCAATATCAAGCCACTCTTGAACTCAACATATTGGGGTAAAGATTGAACAAATCTACCTGATATTGTTTATTAGCTTTAGACTACAGTATTAAAGATGTATGGCTTTCTGTGTAGTGCAGTCATCAGACTGGGAATGACCCAGGCAGAGTTTCTCTTCCACCGCCTGTTTATGGCAGAGCTTCTTCGACCAATCGATTTAGACCTTACCCGTCGAGCAGTTCCCGACACGTGTCGAATGATCCTGCCAATGACATAACTGCTTCAAGGGCCTTATCGTCGAGCACTGTTTATGACAGTAAGGTAAGAGACAATTATCATATGAGTTGTGCTGGGGACAATTGCAAGTATATGTATTTGCACATCAATGTAAGATGGGGTTATCCTGAGCTCAGTTTGGACCAATGTTCATTTTGTTGGATAGAGTGGAGTCTAATTCTATTTTCACTTATGTCGACCACTATATTTGGAACATAATATTAGACACGAAATGGCAGATGCTGAACATGATTTAGGTTTCTTTTTCTTTCTCAATTCTGTTGAGTGCACTCTAATCGACTGTACCGAACTTTCCACTTAGTTCATTATTAAAAGGACTAATCCCTTTTCCTGCTTATTTTTGAACTTCTAATTTCACTTTCTGTGAAAAACAGGTTTGTCCCATTTGTCTCAGTAATTTAAAGGACATGGCTTTTGGATGCGGGCACCAGGTAAATGATACCATGTTTCTACTACTCATAAATCACAATTATTTTTTTTATCTAATTAATGTCACATAATTGATTTATATTCTTACATTCTGTTTTTAATATTTCTGGGCAGACCTGTTGTGACTGTGGAATAGACCTTGAAATTTGTCCAATATGCCGGAGCTCAATCACAACCAAAATAAAGCTATATTCATAGACGAATGAGTAGGTAGGTACTCCTTGAAGAATTTCTTAAACTCGTGTGCCTAGAATTAGTTATAATCCGGACGAATGAAGAAGGTTGAGTACACGCTCTATTCACCTATATATCGACTTTTCTTTGTTTAAGTTTCCTTTTTTAATTCGAACTTTTAATAAATGTATACCATTGTAGGGAAATGGCTAGCTAAGCAATGAGAGGACACGTTTCGTGTGGTTTTTATGGAACACAAAGATTTCGACTACATGCTTTCCGATATCAAACTGAGCTTCTAGAAACTGCCTGCATGAGTTCAAGGAGCACCGCTCGTAAAAGTGCCCGAGAACACGTGATGAACACGTTATTAGGCTTGAAAGCCTGTAGGAGATGGTGCATCATTTCTGATAGTGATTTTTTTTTTCCTCTAATCATTGTACATAGATGAATAAACATTTTTTGTTGAAAGAAATGACGTCGTAGCAATTAGATGTGTGCTGAAAGTTTAATGTATTGGCTTTTCTTGTATTTTTCAGGTTTGTAATTACACGTTTTCCACGTTTTGCAGTCTGGTATTTCTCATTGCACATTGTACAATTTGAAGGCAGTTTTGTCTGCACTTGTTTCTGTAATAAAGAGCCTCGTATCTCATTCTGTTGGGTGATGGTTATAGATTCTCAATAAAGTTGAAATGGTAAAGATATTTGTACATAATTTAATGTATCGAATTGTTTACCCTCTTTTGCATGCACGCGAGCTCCGCATGAATAAAATAAATCTCAAGATATGGTCTCCACCCTCTATTGTGAGTAGTCGGTAAGGAATTAGGTAAAAAAAAATTCGATACATGTAGCATGGTCCAATTTGTAATGTAATTTTTTTTTTATTTTTTATTTTATGTTAGATTTACAGCAACACGCAAAACAACATTAAAAAGTAGAACAAAACATGTTAAATTCGAGTCTACATTTCTCTCTCTCAGTTCGTTTTGTCAAGACCACATTGCTGTTCTGGACGGGAAGTCTGAGTACAACATGTTTAACTATTTAAGTCTGCTGTACCCTTAATTAATTTCAATCGATGTACTTTTGAAGTGATTTTATGTATGAAATTGATTAATATATTGAAACAAATTTGTAAGATGCGAAAGCGTTCTACCAATGATATCACTTTTTTTTTTTTGGAGAAATGCCTCTTGTACAGAAGAGGCATGATAGAAACTTCACAGAAATTTAAAAATCTTTGACTTTTAAGAGGGAAAATTGACTAACCATTTCTCTCTCTATTCTGCCCAGACCTTCAGGCGTTGAACCCCATTTTCCTTCTTTTCTCTTGCCCAAACCTGAAGTAGTTGCTGACGACCTAATTTGCAGACGGCGAACTAATTTGCAGAATAATATGGTGATACTCAACTCAGCACTTGACTCCGCAAGAGACTCCATCGACGACGACATTGGTCCGGGAAACCCACGTGAGCCACAATGCTGTTGTTCTAAATATTAATTCTGAAATTTTGTGCGTTTATCACTGGCCAGTACATGAAATCGGTTCTCAAAAATTACAAGATTTGAAATTATATATTTCTTTCTTACGATTATCTGTACAAGAGGCATTTCTCAATTATATACTTCTTTCTTACGATTTTCGGTATCAACTCTAAGTTTCAAATCTAATTATTGATAGTAAAATATCGGTTGAATTTATTCACTTGAATCGTTAATTTTTTAAAGACCAATCATACTGTTAGTTGAATTAATGAACTTGAAATAATGCCGAAGGCAACATTAGGAGAAGATGGTCCGATGGTGCCGGAGGTGGGTATGATGTTCAACGATGAAAAAGAATTGTGGGACTTCTATAAAGGATATGCATACCATATAGGTTTTCCGGTTAGGAAAAGGAACTCGAAAAAAGAAGATGATGGGAAAATTAAATATGTGACTATCACATGTAGCCGCGAAGGTCGAAGAAGCAGCAGTACAATTGGTTCTTCGAAGCCACAACCAACAATACAGACAGGTTGTAAAGCTAGGATCACTGCATCACTATTGTAGTCTTGATCCGTAATGACGCCACGTCACTACCGGAGAGGTTCATACTACGGAGGTGGAAGAGAGATGTTTGTAGAGCACACACCAGGGTCGCAGTGAACTACGATGGGTTGGTTAGTACTCCTGAATAGTTGAGATACGACGATATGTGTCAAGCTTTTGCCGAGGTTGCAAACCTAGGGGGTGATGATGAAGGGCACTACCATTCGATCAAGGAGTGGATAAATAATCAAAATAAAGAGTTGACGACAATGAAGTCAGGTAGTGGAAGTAATGTTGTTTCACAAGGCACAACTCCTTTAGCATCCCAGGGTAATCAATCTGAAAACAATGCCAGAGGGAGCGTAAGAGATCCCCTATTAACGAGACGAAAGGGAGCTCCTAAGAAGATTCGGAGAAAAGCCCATTGGAGTCCACTTCAAAGAGAACAAAGGTTTGTTTGTCACGTTATATTTCTACTTAAACAATATTCATTCAGAATTACTATTTAACATGTATGTACTTGCAGGCTACGTCGAATGCAAGTAAAGGAACTAGGAGAACAACGTCCAACCGGATGAATACACCGCCTATTGCACTCGTCGTCCAAGCATCTCAACAATATACTATGCAGACATCGATTTCGTACTCGCAACTATTGTTGGTAAGTAAACTTAGATTATTATGGTTATTTATTCAAGGCCTTAACAATGTTGTGGTATCTCGTAGGGTGACGCAGAAAGTCAAACCTTCCTGCAAGCCTTTCCATCAGTGAACTTCATCCCTCCAACGGCATCAAATCTCATATTTAGCTCCCAAGGTGTACACATGTTTAAATCTTTACATTTTGACTACTATTAGTTTGTTTGCACGTACTTACGTTCATATTGTACAATAGGTCCTTCGGTGACATACAACTATCCACATACCCATCAAGATGGTTGTCCCGTCCAGTAAACTATGTATTCCAAATGCTTGTATGGCTTCGGGAGTATGTTCCTCATAGTTGGAGCTATAGGATGGGAAAAATGTAGTTGATTTTGCATTTTCAAAATGGAATATGTTTTCCAATTAGTGTGTTCAGAATATTTGTTCTTCATTATGCCAATCCAAGTGCTGTGAATTTTACCACATTGGATCACATTGAATGGAAAAGTCTTAGAAATGGCATTTCTCTTATCAATTTATCATGGATCAGTAATTAGTGTGGCTGCATTTCTTGTTTTTGCAGTCCTTGTTGCATCATGCCTCCTTCATTTTCTACTTTCATTTCATTACCATATCGACTTGATGCTGAGCTGAAATTCTTGTCCATGTTTCTTCCAGTCGAAATCAAATTGTTGCCACTATGGTTTAATATAGAACTTAATGGTGTATAGCATGAACATGAACCAAACTAGTGATTGCAGACTGAATTTGATAGCTTGTTTAGCCTGCTAGTTTGTGTAGCTCATAGCCATTTAAGATATTTAAATTCCCCACCACGTAAAAAATTGCATTTACTTCATAAAGCTAGTATCAACTTGTATTCCAAAAGTAGTTTGTTACAATCATAAGTGAATATCCTTCCCCATTCCCCACAGCTACCTTCCCGTCACAAGCCCAATAGAAAAAGAGAAAATAGAAGAGAAATCGCCTGAATATCCTTCCCCATTCCTCACACCCACCTTCTCGTAACAAGCCCCTGAACTTCCTTCCCCACACCCACCTTCCCCAAAAAGAGAAAACCTTCTTGCAACATCTTCTCGCACCATATCCGGCCGCCGTCGATCGCGAAGCAACAAGGACTCACATTTCATATTCCCTGTTATTCCTGTCGAGTTTGAATTCAGTACCTCTCCGACCTGGCATCGTTATTACCGAAATAATAACATTTCGAGAGGTAAGATTTTTTGAAACGGCCTTCTGTACATATAGCGTGATTTCGAATAGGTAAGATCTGTGGGTTTTGAAGAGGGAAGATTTTTTGGTTTTAAGAAATTGTTAAATTTAATTCCAGAAATTGAATTGTTTTGAAGATGCAAGATTTTTTGGTTTTAAGAAATTCTTAATATTTAATTCCAGAAATTGAATTCAATTTCTGGAATTAAATGCCTCTTGTATTAGTCTCTATAATTTGTTGAAATTGTAAAGATTTCAACTTTACTTGGAGTACGACTGAGTATTTGTGTGTAATTTCTGGAATTAAACGCCTCTGTATTAGTCTCCATTCTTCAGCCATTGTTCAAGTAGGTTAGGGAGGTATTAGTTTATGGAGAAATCTGCTATCTGTTGTCTGCTATCTGATTGGAAATGAACTTGCAAGAGCTGCTCATTGGAAATGAACTTGCAATAGCTTTTGATTGTGTTATGAATCTGCTATCTGATTGTCTGCCCATTGCCACATACTAACTTGAACGGATTTTGTTGTTTATGTAGGGATTTTTTGGCCGACTATTCAATACTTGTAGTAATGACTGTGGATTTTTAGAGTGGGTAAAAAAGGAAGACGTAGATAGTGAGTCGAGTTCCATTACGGAAGCAAAGAACCCGATTGGGAACGAGGAAATTCACGATTTGCCAAGCATGTTCGATAGTCTAGCTCGTATAGCCGAGCAAAGAAACCTCGAGATTTCGTTCAATGTGACATTTCGCAAGGGCAAAGAGCCGTCGAACTATAATGGCAAATGATAGGGGTCGGATTGATGCACTAACATTCCTTGAAAGCATAGTCTGTCATTTTATGTTGTTATGTTCACTTATTTTCTAATGTTAGGAGGCGGTAATCTATCCATCTTCAACATTCTATAACAAACTACTTTTGGAATACAAGTTGATCCTAGCTTTTTGAAGTAAATGCCATTTTTTACGTGGTGGGGAATTTAAATATCTTAAATGGCAATGAGCTACACAAACTGGAAGGCTAAACAAGCTATCAAATTCAGTCTGCAATCACTAGTTTGGTTCATGTTCATGCTATACACCATTAAGTTCTATATTAAACCATAGTGG